GATAGAAAATATTCAAAATGTAGTGTATATTTTGTGTTTGGATTCCATTGCAATTCAGACCAGCCACATTTCAAGCACATACAGGAGAGTGGTCATAGTGTTGGATAGTAGAGTCTAAAACCATCCCCAAGTCATGCAATACACAGTTACCAATCAAATAAATTCTTGTAAGTGAACTGAGTACTACCACTGGTGGTGACAGTAAGATTTCTCCAGTTGTGTGAAGTGAGGTCAATAGCACAGACCAAAGCTGGCCATTGTAATCTGCTTGGTTTATTTTAGTCTGCTAGCATGGTTTCCTCTCCCAATGGCCAATTCTTGGCTATTGGAGAAACCCACAAGGGTCCCAGCTTCACAGAGAGATATATCGGATCTATTATTATTCATCACCTATTAATTTCATTGTCTGTGAAATGGAAATGAGCTGGTACTATTTGTGATCTAGTTTAAGTTCTTAAAATACCAGAATGCTGCTGTAGGTTCAAGACCTATAACTGAATATTTCACTCCTATGTTGCTTTAAAGGTAAGTTAAGCATTGGCATAAAGCCCATTGGCTTCTGTTTTCTCTACATGGGATGTGTACCTTCGGCTCAGAAACTGGTATTTCCCCAAGTGATCTCACCTCTATTCTAATTGAGCAAATGTTTATCATTAGAAGTCTATCAGTGACAAATGTCTGAGCTTGTCACTCACTTCACATCTGTTCCCTTGTATCTAGTTTACCTTGTTGCTTTTTAATTATTACTTTTTTTTCTGAGTGATGAATCTCAGTTAAGGACACAGCATTCAGCCACACACATGCATATGTGGAGATTTGGGGCATGAGGACAGGGTTGAACAATTCCTTGTCTTTACAGATAGTTCATGAAAATACATCTCGGTGGGGGAAAATTTTAAAGAATATTTTGCAAATAATAAATATATATTAGAAATAAAGTTATAACTTCTTCACCTATCTCTAGTTTTAGTAATTACATCTGGTTTTGACCCCATGTCTAGCTTTTCCAAAGCCATGTAGATACCTTCTTCTTTCTGTACAGAGGGCAGGAACAGACTTACAAAGATTAAAATTTTGTAGCATATTCATACAGTGCCTTGCTATTCAGTAACTATAAATATGCTGTATAAAATAAGCACCATCTAGAATAAACCTCTAAGTGTGTGACTGAGAGAGAGAAATCAGGTATGAAAGAATAGTAATGTTATTGTATTGATGAGAACGACTACATGTTGGTGAAACTCGAAGAGAGAATTCCGTTTGCTCCCTAGGCATGGGATTAACAACCACACATATGCAAGGCAACCTTCTAGTGTGAAAGAAATATCCTACACCAAGAACTTGACTGGTGGGTGTAGGTCATATACATTGCTCAAAAAAGCATTGAAGATTGACACATTTTCTGGGTGCAGTTCCCTCCACACACACACACAATGAACTGTCAGCAAAGAGGAAGGTTGGCAAGTGAGTGATGGGGAAAATAAAGAAATCATGAAGTTATATATTCTCAGCATAAAAATAAAGTGTATAGAATAAAAGGAAGATTACTGGTTTCTTCTCTTTTCACATGCCTCAAGTGTAATTTTTCTCTTCTTGAGAAGTGGCCCCGTGAGCCTGTTTCTCAGGCAGGCTCTTCTTTCTTCAAGTCCAGCTTAGTCATTCCAAAGAGAGGGAAAGCTGTGCTCAGTTGGAAGTAGAGATCTTGGCAGAACACCTCAATAGAAGTTGTTTACACACAAAGACTTCTTCTTACTAACACATGTGAGTGTGCATGTGTTTGTGCATATGTGTTTGTGCATAGTGTTGTTGAAAGAGAGACTGTGTGTATCTGTCTATGTGTGTGTGTCTCTCTCTGTATGTGTCTGTTTTTGTGTGTCTGTGTGTGAGAGAGACAGTGTTGGCATGTGTGCATTTGTCTCTCCCTCTCTCCCTCTCTCTCTCTCTCTCTCTCTCTCTCTCTCTGTAGCTCTCTCTGTCTCTCTCACTCGTGTGTGTGTGTGTGTGTGTGTGTGTGTGTGTGTGTGTATGTGTGTGTGTGTGTGGTTCATTGCAGCATTATTCACAATAGCCAAGAAATAAGACTGACTAAAATGTGGATGGATATGTGAATAAAGAATCTCTCAATCTCTGTCTGTCTGTCTGTCTGTCTGTCTGTCTGTCTGTCTGTCTGTTTCTCTCTCTTTATGTATTTCTCTCTGTCTCTCTCTCTCGTGTGTGTGTGTGTGTGTGTGTGTGTGTGTGTGTGTGTGTGTGTGTAATCTTTTGAAACAGACAAGATTTGGTGATTTCTTTGGTGAACTGTATGAATATGTTTTATTTTTTTCTTTTTTCTTTTTTTTCTTAATGTGCTCAAGACCTAGTATATTTCTTACTTTTTTATTCTTATAGTTCAAACACTAGATTTAGATTTAAAATATGTATAAAATTGTATAGGATTAGGGATCATATTTCTACACTAAGATTTCTGAGTCATCCATGTTTGTTCTACTTTTTTCAGTGTTGTTTTGGTTAGTTTATAATTATTTTTTTATTTTATGTGCATCGATACTCTGCCATGGGGGTCAGGTCCGCTGGAACTAGAACTACAGACATTTGTGAGCTGCCATGTGGATTCTGGGAATTGAGCCCAGCTCCCCTGGAAGAGCAGTCAGTGCTCTTAACCACTGAACCATCTCTCCAGCTACCCCACCCCCATTTTTATTTTTTTAATGTGCTTTGGTATTTTATCATGGGTGTTGGGTCCTCTGGAACTGGAATTACAATAGTTTATATTTTGTGTTGTTAAGGTTTTGATTAATAGTATATAAACCTGCTAGGGGAAAAATGTCTAATTTATCAACAGTAAATTTGCTCACACAAAAGTAAATTTGCTCACACCAGAACATAGCTCCCTTTTATTTACATAAATTCAAGTATCTCCCTGATTTATTTTGTAATTGCTAGTACAAAGGCATTGAATATCTTTTTGTAAATTTTTATTTCTAAGTCTTTTATCCTTCCTCTGCTACCACAAAGGAACCATCATTTTCAAACTTCATTTCAAACTAATTTTTTGATGCTATCCATAAAAACACAACTGGGTGTTTTCTGATGGCCTTGATGAATTAAACTAGTTCCTATAATTATGTTCAAAATCTTTGTAAATTTCCATGTGAGCAGATAGCTTTTTTCTGCAGAAAAATGTGGTTTCTTCTTCTCAAATCTACATGTGGTTGTATTTGCTTCCCTTCTCTTTAGAACTGAGGAAAGCATCCATTGAACCTCTATACAAGGAGAACTGTCTCCCTCGTCCTGATCTTTTACCATTTTGTTTCATATTAACTTTCTGTAATAGCATTTTACTGATTTGAACAAGTACCATTAGTCTATTTCTTGTTGGTTGGGGAGGTTTCAATCATGAATAATATATGATCCTATTTTAAAAAAACAAAAAACTCTCTGCTTCCATTAAAGGTGAGTAACTTCTTGGTGCTTTATTCTGTTAATGTGGTCATTTTGCCAATTTATCACTGAATTCTGAACCTACTTTGTTTTGCTGGTACTCACCCCACTGTCATAATGCAGTATTATTATTTTGAAGAACTTCACATATACATTTTAATGACCTGTCTTAGCTATTCCATGCTAGCTTAATCCTACTAAGTAGATGAGAATGATCTGGAATTTCTAATATTCCTCCTTCCATGTTTTGAGAGTTGGGATTATGGCTATATTCCACTATTCCAGGTTTATGTAGGACTTTGAGCAAACTAGGCAAGCACTCTACCAAGACAGCCACATCCCCAGGCCTCCGTACCCATTTTTTAGGGATGGTTTTCTTTCCTATAATGTATTTTGCTGGGTTTGGGTGCCAAGTTTAAACTTGCTTCAAAGAATTACATAGATCATCTCTATTTAGGGGAATGACTTCTCTAATATTGACATTATCTGTTTCTTAAACATTTAATAGAATTCAGCAGCCTATAGCCATTAAGAATATAGTTTTATTTGTGAGGGTATGTGTTAATATGAATATGATTTGTATTGAGAAATTCGGTTTGTATGTGGGTCAGTTTCACTAACTTGTATTTTTAAAAATATTTTCAAATCAACAAAATTATTACATCAACTCTCACAAATTGTTAAATTGCCTATAGTTTTGATATTCACATAATATATAATGGTGTCTCCTCTGACATTTCACATACTGGTAACTTATAATTTATGCACCCATAGTGCCATAAAGTTACTATGTAGACCAAGCTAGACTCAAATTCACAGCAACCCTCCTACTTCAACCTCCCAAATGTTGACATTAGAGTCATGTGCCACCAATCTCAAATTTGCTTTTATTTATTTATTTTTGACCTATCTTGTTGGATTTCATTAGCCAAAGTCCCTATGACACTGGGCATGTTGACATATGCCTTCAGTACTATGGAGATAGATGCAGTCAGATCTCTGTGACATCGGGGCCAGCCTTGTCTACATAATGAATTTTAGGTAGCCAAGGCTATATAGAAAAGTTTCTGTCTCAAACAACAAACAAGAAGTCCCTATGAAAACTCCTTAGCTTACTTACCAAATATATGTAGTTTTATGTATATAACCTTTATAATCAGTTTAGCATTTCATTTAATCCTATATGAAGGAATAGTATCAATGTTTCTTATAGCCCTAATATTTTTATTTATCCCCAAGGGACAACACATTTTTTATTACTTAAACAAAGTATATGATTCTCGATGATCAATTATAAAACCTACATGGATTTTTTTCTCCTAATTTCTACAAGCATGCTTTTACTATTTCAGACTCATTTGCATATAATAATTGTAATGGAACAGAAATCTATGTTATTTTAATTCATTCTCTGTTTCTTCACAGCATTAATTCACCTACTTATATACCTGTAGACACTAAAGTTGAATTCACACAACTAAAATGTACATAAGATGTTGTTTTACTGTATACAGAAACTTTTACCTGAAAAAAAGACTTCTGACTTTTTGTTTCTACAGTGATGTTCTTCTACAGATGGGTTGTCTAACTCTTAATAAGCTGCAAAGGAAATATTTTGTAAAGACAGGAAGATTCCTACTGATTGGTAATAGCAACATGTGTGTGAAACTTGGAGAGAAGAATTTAACTTGCAAAAATATAGAAATATCCAAGATAGGTAAGAAGCTGTATGTGAAGGTATGATTGCTGTGGTTTGGATAGCTGCAGACACATGTCTTGACTTTCAGTATGTTAAAAATAAGCAAATCATGAAAACACTTTGTAATAGACAATATCAACTTTTCTAACTAGTTTTTAATGAATGAAAAAATTGACCCTTGAGTCATGACTTCCTACTGTGAGAAATATTCTAAGAATGTTTAAGCTCAGCTATGAAATAGGGTGTTTGACATCACACCTACTGACTGGTGGAAACACATATCAGTATGAAGAATGTACCTAAAGTGGAGTCATCTTTCATCTTCCCACACATCTTTTCTTTTTTCTCCATTTTCGCATAATAGTCCAAATGTGAATAGATAAATTAACAAATCATTTTACAACTAAATATACATTTTCCATATTTGTCAAAGTTCTACAGGTGGAAGGGAACTCATGGGTGGGAGATAAATACATGCATAGATAGATAGATAGATAGATAGATAGATAGATATAGGTAGATAGATAGATAGATAGATAGATAGATAGATAGATAGATAGATAGATGAGACACAGATTGATTTTAAGAACTGGCTTATGTGATTGTGGCAGTAGTAAGTTCAAAATCTTTATTTATTTTTATTTCATTTTACGTTCCAATTACAGTTCTCTCACTCCTCCCCGTGTCCCCACTTCCTACCTCAGCCAACCCTCCATCCACTCCTCCCAAAGGGCTTCCATGGGGAGTCAACAAAGCCTAGCCCACTAAGCTGAGGCAAGTTCAAAATCCTAAAAATAAACCAGAGGGTAGAAATTCAGGTTAAATATGGATGTTGCAGACTTGAGTCCAAATTCTCATGGCAAGAAACAAGACTATATTGCATTCTTGAATCTGATTTGTTTCTTAAAGGAATTTCTACCTTTTATCTTTAAGGCCTTTTACAGATTAAGCAATGCCAACTCATTATGAAAGGTAATCTGTGTCACTCAAAATCTACTGACTTAGCTGAGTGGTGATGGTGAACACCTTTAATCCCAGCTCTCAGGAGACAGAGGCAGGTGGAGCTCTATGAGTTGGAAGCCAGCTTGTTCTACAGAGCTCATTCCAGGACAGCTAGGGCTATTATACAGAGAAACCTGTCTCAAAAAACCTACTGACTTAAGTTTTAATCATGTTTTTAAAATGCCATCGGATTGATGTTTAACTAAAAAAAGTAAGGACCATATCCCAGCCATGATGAATTATAATATGATTATATCTCCAAAGAGATAAAGTAAAGAATGAACATAGCCAAATTGATTTGACCCAGAATAAACAATTTTACTTTGTTAAACATAAAAATTAGTAAAAAGCAGTTGCAATTCAAGTTAAACTATAATTTGAGTTAATTCAATGACATGTTAACTATTTGTGTTTTTTTCTACCTCTGGAGATTTTCAAGTATATGTATGGGGAAATGTTCAAAATGATCATATAAGTGCAATTTTTTGCTATTTTTGAAGGCTATGAACTATTTCCTCCTATTCTGAATACCTCTTTCACTACTCTAAAAGAAAAGACAACAGAGAAGTTCTCACTAGATATGAGATAAAGTGAGAAAGTTACCTTAGCTTTGTTTAACTATGATGATAAAGAGTAAAAATAGAAGTTCTGTGTCTGAGCAATCATCTTAGCAAAAGAATAGTTGTTACTGGCAGGACATATGGGACAGATGGCTTTACATGTTTAATAACATGAGCTAGGTCAGCATGAGTGGCAGATGAGGCAAGGATTCCAACAAAGAGTATCTGAGTTTTGACATGATACCTGCAGACACGTCTTGACATCCAATATGTTAAAAATAGGCAAGTCATGAAAACACGTTGTAACAGACAATAGCAATTTTTCTAACTCATTTTTAATAAATGAGAACTTTGGCCCTTGAATCATGACTTCCTACTGTGAGAAATATGCTGAGAATGTTTAAGCTCAGCTATGAAAGTAAAGTGGTTTTTACTCATTTACAGGTGAGATTTCTATAGATCAGTGCCCATTTTGTGCACTGCAGAAAGGCATCCTATTTAAAGTTCTGTTTCTGCTGCAAAGGCATTTCTCTTGGAGGGTGAGCAGAACAGATGACAATTATTGATCCTCTGAGAAAACTACAACAGGTGAAAGTCTATTGTCTTCCTTGCATAAGGCAATCTAAGCATACAAGCCTTTGCAGTCTGGGAACACTTAGACCACACCCACAGGATCTAGGGATACCTGCCCCATCCATAGTCCCCGTTACCAAATGCATTGTGCTCATCAAGGACCATGTTGCATCTCCCACAGCAGACCACCAGACTAACCTCTTTTGGGAATAGCAATGAGGGGAGCCAGAGTTTTCACACTGTTGGTAGGACAGGTCCCTGTGGAGAGGGGTGGTGTGGGTCTCTGTGAGGGCACTAGAAAGTGCTTGCACTCCCAAGCAAGCAGGAAGAAAAATGATAGGATGTTTCTCATAGGATTATTTTCTCCTAACTCCTCAGAAGGCATCTCATTCATTTAATTATCATTTCCACAAAATTTAAACTAAATGTTCCTGATTGAATCCTAGAACCAGAACCATGGCCACCTACAACTTTCTTCCTCACTTTCCTTTCATCAGGTCCCCTGTAGTGGTTTGAAAGAAAACAGACCCTCCCCAAAGGGAGTGGCACTATTATAAGGTGTAGTTTTGTTGGAGTAGGTGTGGTCTTGTTGAAGGAAGTGTGTCACTGTGGGGGTAGACTTTGAGGACTCCTATGCTCAAGCTACTCCCAGTGAGACAGACCATTTCCTGGTGCCTTCTGATCAAGATATAGGCAGAACCATGTCTGCCTGCATGTCACCATGCTTCTCACCATGGTGATAATGGACTGAACTGTAAGCCACCACCTCAATTAAATGTTTTCCTTTACAAGAGTCACCATGTTCATGATGTCTCTTCACAGCAATGGAAGCCTTAATTAACTAAGACACCCCCCCCTAGCCTCTAAGGCTGCAGGGGGCATCCTGCCTTCATGCCATCCTACTTTGTTCCAAATATATTGATAAAATTGTCTCAAGTCAAAGGTGAACATACAGCCTGGTCCAGATGTTTTACTAGAAAATAAATATTTTTCTCTGGGTCTGTGCTACTTAGTATAACAGCTTTCTTCTCCCAGGAGTATATCTTACACACTGTATCTGAACAACAGTTCTATGAGGCAAGCAGAGAGGCTTATGGAGCAATAGGTTAATTTAATTAAAACTGACTGAGGAGAGAGTCTGGAGGCAACTCGAATTTGTTAGCCAGGGCCAGGGGGCAGATTGCACTTCCATGCATCTCAGATGAGGTCAGAGGTCCCAGATGTAGCCTGGCAATTCTTTTACTTTGGAGCTCTTTAGTAACACATACTCTAGTATTCTGATGGTGTGTGTGTGTGTGTGTGTGTGTGTGTGTGTGTGTGTAAAATTAGCACTACCCATCACATTAAAACAAACAATTCCTGAACATATGGTCTGACTGTTGTAATTTAAGAAAAGCAGCACTTGTGAGAAAGATGCCACAAGGAGAGTGTTCAAGCAGACGGGTTTTTTATTAGGGAAAGGGATCATTAAAAGGAGAAAGGAAAGGGAGGAGACTGGCCTCCAGGGACAGGAGCAGCAGGAGAGAAGAAAGAGGAAGGAGGTCCAGAGAGAGAGGAACATACAGAGGGAAAGAGACAGAGAGGGATGGAAGATGGGCAGGGCCCTTTCTTTGTTTTGTTTTGTTTTTTGTTTTGTTTTGTTTGGGGGGACAGGGTTTCTCTGTGGCTTTGGATGCTGTCCTGTTACTAGCTCTTGTAGACCAGGCTGGTCTCGAACTCACAGAGATCCACCTGCCTCTGCCTCCCGAGTGCTGGGATTAAAGGCGTGTACCACCAACGCCCATTCACATAGTGAATGTGCACAGATGGTGCTCTTAGTGGCTACAGCTGAGGGTGTATCCTGTCAGAACCCCAAGGACAGGTTAGTACAGATGCCTGAAAACTAAACACTGACACTCTTAAGTTTGTGTCTCATACCATTGCTGCCCTAAGCAACATTTAAGACTTCCTCCACATTGTGACCCAATTATCTTTCCCAAAGGACTTGGTATGTAGAAATGGACCAAGATGGGAATTACACATGGGAGGATTTGAAGGCCAAGATGGAACTGGTACAGTTCCAAGTATTCATAACACTCAGAAGGCCACACCAGCCAGGAAGGCTGGCAATGATGTCTGGATGTGAATCAAGGAAAAAGAGGTTTGGCTGTGTGAATGATCAGCTCCTTACATAAAATGCTCTGAGGTGGGTTTTAGGACTTCTAAAAAATGTAGTTATCAACAATTAATGAAAAATAGGTTATGGATTTGAAATAAAGCCAGGAGAGCACATGGGACGGTTTTGAGGGAGGACAGGAAGGGGTGAAATGATGTATTTGCATTTTAATGTCAAAAATATAAGAAAAAGTTTAAATATACTTATGTCCTTTTTAGCTCCATGCACAGCTTTCATTTCTTTGTCTTTCCAGTTAAACCTGAGGCTCCTTTTGGCCTAGAAGTAGTTTATCGAAAAGAAGCAAATGACTTTTTGGTGACATTTAATACAACTCACTCAAAAAAGAAGTATGTAAAACATTTAATGCATGACATGGCCTACCGCCCAAAAAAGGGTGAAAGTAACTGGACGGTAATGTAGATCAATCATTTTCATAAAATAATTATCAACATGCTTTGTCTTCAAAACCTTTTCTTTACTCAGAGAGGCTCACAGGATCACACTCATTTAAAGCCCCATGACTCCTGCATCTTTCTTGGTTCATCATCATCTAACTATTTTATCTTTATGGTTTGGATTTGGATAAGAACACATGCTCGGACAAACCTGATCCTCACTATACAAAGTCTGCAGTTCATGGGCTAATCAGAAAAAAATAATGCCTCTCTGTAGCATAACCAGGAAGTAGGCATGCTTTTTCCCCCCTGGGATTTTTGGAGCCAGCAGGAGGTCAGCCAAAGAAGGGGCAGAAGGCTTGTCTGTCCCTTGTTTTTATTTTAATGCCTAAGGTTTCTGTTGAAGAAGGAACAATTTGTTATTCACTCTTCGTTTTCTGAATGTTTACTCGGCTTCTTCACAGTCTGCTGTTCTTATCATCTGTTTTGGAGATGAGCTGGGAAAGACGCAGAGTATCCTGGGTAGTCAGATTTCTCTTAACCCTAGTCCTCTCTATGTCACATAGATAATTATTTTTCAAGAGATGGCTTCTCTTCCTCGGGAATAAATGAATGCCTTCTTAAACCCAGTGCCCCATTTTCTCAAGCCAGGTCATCCTCACTGCTCTGCAGGATGCTGAGGCATGCCACTCCTGTCCAAGCTATTCTCTGCCTCTCCCTCTACCTACTCCACACACACAAACTGGATGACCTCTGTGCTACTTTCTCTCATTAATCATCTGCAGATGCCACCTGTGAAAAGCAGCATAAAGATTATAAATAAATTATTCAGAGACAATCAGCTTATTATCTGTATTTTATTTTTTCATTCATTTTACATACCAACCACAGTTCCCCCTCCCTTTCCTCATCTCCCTCCTCCCTACTTTTCCCCAACCCACCCTCATCCACTCCTCAGAAAGGGTAAGGCCTCCCATGGGGCATCAACAAAGCCTATCACATTCAGGTGAGGCAGGACCAAGCCCCACCCCTTCCAGATCCAGACTGAGCAAGGCACCCCACCATATGGAATAGGCTTCGAAGAGCCAGCTCATGCACTAGGGATAGATCCTGGTCCCACTGCCAGGGGTCCCACAAACAGACCAGGCTACAAAACTGTCACCCACATGTAGAAGGCCTGGTTTGGGTTTTTTTGAAAAAGGTAAATTAAATTTCTACCCTCTCCTGAAGGTTTATCTATGCCAATACACACCAAAACAATTATAAGTCACATCAAAAATTAGCATTAAGTTACTGTATAACTGCCATCAAACAGTCTGTTGACACAAAAATGTTAACATATCACTAAGTTAGAGACAAACAGGCAAATCAATGGAAAACTTAGAAAATTGTCATAAATAAGAAACATATAAATTCAATTAACAGAGTCAAACAAGTATAAATTACAATCAGATACTACTTTTTGTCTATAAAACTGATGTAACATCTTTTTTTCTTAAAAATAATACAGTAATGGAAAAGGCATTGTGTCTTCTGCACAGTGTTATCTTTCTGGAAGGAAATGACTACTACCCATTGTTTCCTCTTGGATCATGGAAAGAGATAGAAGAGGAAGATACTGGAATGGGAGAGCTAGCTGTGAGCCTAGGTGTGGGTTATACACTCTAAAATGGGAGATGATAATTCAGCTGAGGACCCATCCAATTGGTGTCCTCTTTGGCCTCTCTTGGTATCATTTTGAGTTTGCCCCTTGTTCTGCTGCTAAACCTTTTGCTTGGTTGAAAGCCTTCACTTCCGAAATATAAAAGACCTTCAAGAGAGTAGCAACACAACTGACAGATTAAAGTGAGTTGAGAGATCTAGGCAACGTGTCTTTTGACACCCAGTAATGTAACTTATTTTTTCACCCTAGCATGTACATTTAATGAATACAAAAACAACAATACTAGAACGAACGCTAAAACCTAAAGCAGTGTATGAAATCAAAGTCCGGTCTATCCCCGGTACCAGATACTTTAAAGGCTTCTGGAGTGATTGGAGTCCAAGTTCTACCTTCAAAACCCCAGATCCCTGGAGTCGAGGTAAGCAAAGGCTATAGAATCCCTGTGCCCTCCACAAGATTCCACATGCCAAAATACAGCAGAGAGAGTGAGCAGGAGATTGATGTAAACAACCTCCAGGTCAGGACACTGAGGGACTACTTCCACTTTCTGTGGAGAATGTTCTGTCTGCCACCTTTGTCACTTTTCTGGAAAAAAAGAGCAATGGAAGCTGGGCCCATAGTACCCGATAACAAACACAAATTGTTTTAAATCCATTGTCTCGGGTGCTCCTGAGTATACTAATGAATCCATAAGAACTCCTTCCATCTTTGTCAGAGATCACACGTGATCTGTCTGTGACCCCTCTAGGTAATACCTTTGCTAATAGAAATTGGGAAAGCCAGTATGACCATCTATTGCATTTCCTTTCCCAGTAGAATAAATATTCTGTTGGGTACAGAAATGTGAGGTACAGGAAATACCAATAGCCAGAGAAATCAGAGACTGTGTCTGAGGAAAGCGCCCAAAGCACCTCACACAGAACTTCTTTGAGGAGGGTGGAGCTTATTCCTGCTATTCAAACTCTCATTCTGGAGCTTGCTGCAGCTTCAGGCTGGGCATTCATCTCTTCAACTCTTATTTAGACTTTTTTCTTTGGGTATTGGCAATTGAATGGGGGTTTATAGGCCATCAGGAAAGGTCATCTTTGCACTTCAAGTGATAGATGCTTTTACCAAGATCAGTGACACTCTTCTTGTCTATCAAAGAACTATTTCCAAGAAACAGTAAGTGTGACTGTGTTACTAAGTAAATGCAAACCATTCTAAATATTTACCCATCTCCCCCCACATTATTTGCTTACTGAATGCTAACCATGATCTTTCCTTATATTGCAGTGAGATGGGATCCTGTTTTGCCAAGTATCAGCATTCTGAGTTTTTTCTCTGTGGTTTTGTTGGTCATCTTAACCTGCGTGCTATGGAAAAAAAGGTGATTTTCTTTAATAATCAAGAGGTTATTGTGTGAAGCCAAAGAAAGACAGGACTCATACCTCACTTATTGATCTAGAAAACTTTAAAGGGTGACGATATTTTAGGAATTATAGTTACAGTGGCAAATATACCGCCTCCTAGTCTTAGATCCTAGTTAATTTTCTATAGTTGATTTCAGAAGCAAAAATATCTAAACTAGATGTAACACAAACATTATTCCCCAAAAATTAATTCTCTCTCTCTCTCTCTCTCTCTCTCTCTCTCTCTCTCTCTCTCTCTCTCTCTCTCTCTCTCTCTCTCTCTCTCTCTCTCTCTCTCTCTGTGTGTGTGTGTGTGTGTGTGTCTGTCTGTCTGTCTGTCTGTCTGTCTGTCTGTCTGTGTAGTGTATGTGTTCATGACTATGCACATACATGCACCTGTTCACTGGCCTATAGAAAGGCAACAGTCAACACTGATTGATTTTTACTCAATCATTTTCCACCTTGTTTTTTGAGGTAGGATCTTTCTAAACCTGGAACTCACTGACTCAGTCAGACTAACCTGTCAAAAAACTCCAGGTATCCGTCTCCATCATGCCATACAACATCACTGAATATCTGAACTCGGATCTTAATACTTGTATGGCAAGCAGTTTATTTACTGAATCATCTCCCTAGGCCCTTGCACCTAAATAAAAATGCTTTGAGAAGTATTTTCCAAACTTTCCTCCACAGCCTCCTAAAGCACAGAGACAGTATTACCCATTCTAACAAGGAATGTATTTGATGTCATGACTTTCTTCACACAAATTTACAAGATTTTTATATTCTACTCTGTGATAGAGTCATGCACTTGAAATTACTTGGTTGTTCTAGGAAGATGCCCTCAACATATGGCCACATGTGACTAGGACAAAAAGTGTTCTAATTTGAAAAGTATTACCATAAAATAATTTCCTTGAATATCTTAGAACATATTCCCCACTCTCACTAGAATTAAAGCAAAGCAGTTACTTCAAGCAAAAAGAATGAATAAGATGATAAATATTGAAAAGAAAAGAGACCAGGTCATCAGGTTTTAGCTCCATATCAACACCAATACTAGCTCCCTACAAACCTCTGTCCCATAATTACAGTGTCTCATTCACAATAGGTCAATAGCAATGAGCTCTGTTCCATCCCCCCCTTTAATCGAGTGGGTCATCTGTCCACAGAAAACAAGACATTTGGCCACAGTTGGTACCTAGCAGTAGCAGAGCCAGTTCCAGAAAATGGTTTTACAGTCTCCCTCAAACAAGGAAAAAGATGCATGTCTGTGCTTTTTCCCTCTGCCATTTGTTTCATCAATGAATGTTCTCTGGTTTTAGGATTAAACCTATTGTATGGCCCAGTCTCCCTGATCATAAGAAAACTCTAGAACAACTATGCAAGAAACCACAAAAGGTAAGTGCTTGTGGTGGAGAAACACAATACCAATAATATGTTAGTCTAAGAATGTTCAAGGCAAGGGAAAACTAAACTCAGCTTTTGGCTTTGTATGTATTGCATAGCTGAGGCTCCCTATAAGATACTGTGGAATAAAACTAAGACACACACGACAGGAAGTGGGGGCACAATCAGTGTTTAATTCAAACCTGCAGTATCACAGCTCAGGCAGAAGTGCAGCCCACTGAAGAGCAAGCAGGCAATTTTCCAGCATTGCATAGTAAATTCTCATGAGAAAGTTTCTTAGACATTTTTTAAATTTTTATAATTGTAATTAGACCAATTTTAAATTAAAAACAAGTTTCTTTTACATATCAAACCCAGTTCCCTCTCCCTCCCCTGTCCCCGACTGACCCCCTATCCCAACCCCTTTCTGCTCCTCAGGGAGGGTAAGGCCTTCCATGGGGAATCTACAAAGTCTGTCCTATCATTTGGAGCAGGGCCTAGGCCCTCCCCTGTATCTTCCTGAACCAAGTGTGTGGTAGAACCTCTTTCCAGTGCCACTAATGCTTCTGGCTTTCTCTACAGAATTTGAATGTGAGTTTCAATCCTGAAAGTTTTCTGGACTGCCAGATTCATGAGGTGAATGGCATTCAATCCAGAGATGAAGTAGAAAGCTTTCTGCAAAACGACCATCCTCCACAACCTGATCTTCCACCTGAGGAGCTGGAGAATCAGGAACATGGAGCATCTGTGCATAGCCCAAACTGGCTATCTGAGATTTCAGTCAGCATACCAGAAACTGTCAGAAGAGACTCACCCCTAAGATTCCTGAGCAGAAATCTGAGTGCATGCAATACCCCTACATTCCCTTCCTCTAGGTCCCTTGACTACAGAGATGATGACAGGAATGGACCCCATGTGTATCAAGACTTGCTGCCAAGCCCTGGAAATACAAATGGTACCCTCCCTCAACTGTTTCCTCTCCAGTCAGGAATCCTGATACCAGTTTGTCAGAGACAGCCCATCCCCACTTCCTCAGTACTGAATCAAGAAGAAGCCTATGTTACCATGTCTAGTTTTTACCAAAACAAATGAATTAGGAGAAACCGGAGACCCTTCTATCACAAACAGAATGATCACTGGGATGGAAAGTCTAGAATGCCTACTCTCCCTCATAGTTCACAAGAGATAAAGTTGATGCAACCTTGCTACACATCATCAGCATTCTGAGAAATCATTTTGATCTCCTAACTCAGAATCATTTGCATAAAACAGAAAGACTCTCTTTCTACCTTGTTGGTTCAGTCCCAAGAGTTCAGATGACCTGATTAAAAAATATGAACAAAACTCAAATTAAATAAAGAGTAATGGGAAGATAGAAGGGTGTGGTGACACAAGAAGAAAGAATAGAAGAAAAGAAGACTAACAGTGGCAGTTCTATCGTTAGGACTTAGTATATATACAGGACTCTACACAAATGGTCTCATTTCTTCCTCACAATAATACAGCAATGTGGGTTCATCCACTATAATTGTTATACTCTTTGAGATAGATGCTGAAGTTGAGAGTAAAGATTTTAAGTAATCTGTCTGAGTTTTCTTTCAGCAGCAGGTAAGGCATGCCTTCTAACTTCAGCCTTCCCTTGTCATGAACCTGTCTTATTCTTGAGTGCCAAACACCACACTAAGTGGGTGATTATATAGTAATTATTCAAACTTGGTCACTGTGGAAATGGGAAGTCAGAGATAAGTAACAGTAATCATAAACTGGGTCTGCCTCAGAAAGTGTCTGCAAAGAAGAAAGTAGACAACAAAACATATTTATGGATATGAAGTACCAAGACTTTGTGTCAAAGGAAGTGAGAGAAAGAAGAGAGTCACCAAGCTCATTTGTTTTTATTTGTTTATTTTGAATAGCAAAAGTTCCAGAGTCATTTATCAAGACCATGATCCTCCCGCTGCTATTATCCATCTGCCTCCATATGAGATCATAGAAGCAGCTATGGACAATCTACAACAGTGTGACACGTAACCAGTGATTGGAGGAATTGCCCTCCTATGTGTGTAGATTCCATTACAAACTACCCCAAGTTTGGTGGCCTTGGATGCTGCCTGAACTACAGGGAGGCGGGGATGTGAACACTTTAGTGATTTACAAAGCTGAGATTATGCTCATGAAAGGACAAAGAAAATAGGTGAGTTGCTCAAATTCGATTGTTAATTCATGACTATAAGCCGCAACTTTGTATTCCTGGTGTGAATAGCCAGGCTCCTGAAGAAAACATCATGTAACTGAAGGACAGCATTGGGTTCCTCAGCACTAAAATCCTCTGTTTCAGTGTTGACATTGGTTATTTGAATTTGGTGTGTCTGTCTGATCATGTATTAAATCCATGTATTATATTCACATAACCACAACTGCTGCTAATTCTTATATACTCAGGAACAGCATGTAATGTAACATTTCTGATTGGATCTGCCAATTTCACTTTTGGTTTTCATAGAGGGAATTTGTGCCTTCAGATCCAATTATGGGCTATTTCAGATGTGTATACTTATGTTTTTTCAGAGCTAAGATTGGGTTTGGGGATTTTTTAAATATTTTTTATTTAAATTAGAAACAATCTTATTTTACATATCAATCCCAGTTCCCTCTCTCCCACCCTCCCATGCCCCCACCAAACCCTTGTGTCCCCCACCCCCCCATCCATTCCCCAGGGAGAGTGAGGCCTTCCATGGGGGAATCATCAAAACTTGTCACCAGAGCTAAGATTTGGAACTGTCAAAAATCCTAAGAATATGTAGTAGGGAACCTGGAATACAGCTCGGGTGATATTTTTGTGAGCTCAGCAGTTTTTCTTTGGTGTTGTTTAAAACGTCCAGCATCCACTACAGTGAAATTGCCTGAGTTGACTGTACTAATGCATTATTAGTGGCCTGCAGAGCTGTTACATAGAGATGTATGGCATGTGTTATCATTTCACATTTCATTAAATGCTAAGGAACCCCATATGGCTGTACTGTGTTCTGTGACTGTGACAACTATACATAAGTAGGTTCCTACAGGCCAGCACAGGCCTCTTTAGTTACTAAAAGCATTCTTATGTCATTTAATGGGGTAGGGTTTCCAGAGAGATGCTTTCTGTTTGTTTCATTTTTTCTTTTCCTTTTCATCTTTTTAGCTTTATTTTTTTATGGTGTGGGGGGAGACGGCAGTGTGTGGCACTCAGGACAGTTTTGTGGAATCTGTTCTCTCCTTCTACTTTTACATGGGTTTGGGGGTGGGGTGGGGGAGGGGTGTTGTGCTCAGACTCAGGTCACCAGGCTGGCACACGTTGCTTCTAATACCCTCATCTTCAGCTTTCTGATTGACAGTTGTCCTAGCTTCTGCTTCGAGTCCCTCAAGACTGAGAAATATTTTTTAATCAATTCAATAATTAACTAATAGAAATTTGTTAAGGAGCCATACTGTATTACTTTTATACTGTGCTAGCCACTAAATGATGGAATTAGATACTACAAGTTCACGGTTATATGGAGAAAAAAATACAAGTTAGTGTTAAAATATCACACTAACGTTTTATGGCAAAATGTCAGTTGTGATCCTTAACATTTAGCAAAATAAATTAATTTTAAGCATAGAGTTTACTAAAAGGTACTATATGGCTCACAGAATAGCTGGGTGGGTGAATAGCCAGTCTTGCAGTCCACAGGGTCTCCCTGTATCTTTGTGACTCACAACTCCAGAAACTGAAAATAGTTACCTTCACTTGGGTCACGCACTCCTGAGGAGTCTTAACAATGACCCCCAGCAACTTCACACCACAGATTGTTGTAGTAAGACAAATCTTGAGCCTGTGGCTGACAGCAGCAAGCATGGTCCTTGTGTGAGCCATAGCAATAGATAAGAGATCATCTGGTTTTAAATGTACAGTAAGAGGCAGTCATTGCTACAGAGGAGGCAATCCCCAACATACAATGAAGATTCTGCTGTTAGGACAGAAGAAAAGAATAGCAAAACCATGTAAAGGGAATGGAGAGATGACTCAGCAATCAAGAGCATTGGCAGCTCTTCCATTCCAGAGGACCTGAGTTCAATTCCCAGAACCCATATGGTGACTAAGCACTTCTGTTACTCCATTTCTAAGGATCCAACACCCTTCTCTGCAAACAAAATACCCACATATGTATAAAATCATAGTTTTAAAAATATTACAAAACAGGTAAAGGCTATATGGAAGAAAATACAAGCATGGACAACATGAAGGTCACATTTCATATGCTAATGCAAGACTCTGGAGTGTGCCACATAATTGCGCCTAGAGATCACATAGGGATTTTTCTCAGCATAAGAAAAAGCATAGTGAGCCACGGAGTTGTGAGAAAAAGTGTTGGGAGGAATGTACAAGGATAGCAACTGATATAGTCATCACTGTCTCAGAAGGCAGCAGCAATGCCTTGGCAGTTACTTCAGAAAGGTAGAGAAATCTTATTTGCATAGATATAACATATTCATCTTGAATGCTTAATTTAAACATGTGTGTATATTCCATTGTATCTTGGTCCATTAAGCTACTCTTAACAAAACAAATGACCTGGGTAGCTTAAAAACAGCACAAGACCATTTCTTGAAGTTTTATAAACTGGGAAATGTATCAGTATGATTGGGTTCCGAGAAAGGCTCTCCGTAAAACAGCACTGGCTTCTGACTGTGCCTTACACCTGAGCGCCCTTGGGCCTCTTTCACAACCCTCTCCCCACTATCTCACTTCCATCATAGCAGAAGTTAAAATTTCAACATGAATTGTGAGGACACCAATATTCAGACTGGTACACATTACAAGGCCAGTGTACTTCCTAGAGTATGGTCATAAATTTACCAAAAAACTGATCAACAAACTGCTCTTTTTAATGTTTTTATTTCTTTGAAATGATAACTTCAAGGTAATTGAAGAGTCCCATCTTTATGAGAAAAATGTTGCCACCCTTATAATTTCTGCCATCATTCTGCCACTTCAAGTTTTCAGCAATATTCTTGCGTTGTACAGTTATTAAGTCCTCAGAATTTTCAAGGTAGTTCTCTTAGGTCAAGAGCTGCCTTTCTTTGTACATTCAAAATTTGTTAGCTCCCTAAAAATAATTATACCAAGTTCTATTGCCTTAGACAAGTGAGGACAACTATAACTAACTGTCTTTTGTGTGCTCTCATGTCACTTAGTAGAAGTACTTGTACAGGGAGTTACTCACAGCCAAGTCTTAATGGGGATGCAATGTATTTAAAACAAGATGGATAGTAATAGTTCACTCAGTGAGTGGCTGAAACAACAGCATTGATGGAGAGCAGAAAGGAATTTACATGTTGTTATTTGCCATACAGGGCCTGGGTGTGCTTGCAAAAAAAGTGTGGCCTTAAGAACTTCATGTGGGGCTGAAGAGATGACTCAACATTTAATAATGCTTACTGTCCTTACAGATCACAGTTCATCTCAAAACTGCCTGTAACTCCAGTTCCAGGGCATTTTGCTCTCTTTTGGTCTCCTGGGGTTCCTGCATGTGCACATGTGCTCACACAGTCACACACACACACACACACACACACACACACACACACACTAAATTTTAAAACGTATTTAAAAACGTTCATGTGCAAGTGTGTACTGGGTTTCTTCGCTGTAAACATGAAACCCTTTGATGTTTTCCTGTATTTTTCTCAGAAGCATTCTATTGAATTCTATTTGATTGCATCAGCCCTTCCAGGTAAGATTACAGACTCTCATGCTTTGGCCTACATAAAATTTTCTCCAATTCTTCAAATAATGTCATGGTTCCAAAGTACAAGGCACTTTCCCTCTGTCCCCAACAATCCTTTAAGTCTCTGTGTGTCTGCTTGCTTATTATTCTTCAAGCACTAGCCTCTATGTAATTTTCTTACAGAAGAGGTCACTGTGTCAAAAACAAGATGCTTTCCCCATTTCTCTTTGTCATGCCTTTATTTCCTCCTAATTTCCTTTCATAATACTAATTGCCTTATTTATTTCATTGATCATTGTTGATCTCCTTCAATTCTGAAACTCAACTTATAGGCAACATCTGCTATTTACTTTATTCTTAGGTGTTTAATAAATACTAATTGATGGAAGTGTGGAAGTACTCTGACAAGCAGAAGAAGTTGTCACAAAGGCCCATTTGATATCTTGTCCTTAGTATCATGGCTACAATTAGACACAGTGATAGTTCTGGTTAAGCGTACAGAGAGGTTCATCCTGCCCTGTTTCTGATATGACCACCCAACACAATCCCCAGAGAAATGGTGCTACAGAGAAAATCTGGGAAAACCTTTTGATGGCTTCCCAGCAAGGAGTATTATTAGGCTCTTAGTGCTCCAGTACATTCATTTCTTATGGTTACTGTTATAAATTGTCTCATACTTAGATGCCTAAAACAAAACTAATTTATTCCCCTATGTATCAAGGAGTCAGATGTCCAAACTTTCAAGTGTTCACTGAAGTGCATGGTTTTGGAATCCCAATTCATTACTGGCTTTTCTCATTACTCATGCAAACAGTGTTCTTTAGAATCTGGAATCTTGATCATCCCTCTGTCATGTAAGGGGACCATTGCAACCTCTGCTCCCCTCATCATAGTGTCTTCTCTTGCTGTTGCCCCATTCCCTTCCCCTTATAAGAACTGGTGTTATTATATTAAACAGACTTAGATAACAATAATCTCTCCATTTCCATGTTTTTACTGTAATCACATCTACAGAACCCTTTTATCTTGTGCATACACTTTCGTAGTCAGGACATGTCCATCTTCAGAAGCAGATTGTGTAATGTACCTTGTCCAGTTTCCAGCTTATCTTCATTTCTCCCGACCTCTCTGAGTCACATCTCAGATATGATCTTTTCCAGAAGGGTATGTTATTATAGATCAGGGTTTGGCTGATCTGTATACCCCTATGTACTTTATGCTTACTCCTGTTGGTTCCACACCGATTTGTAGTTACTTTGTTCAGTGGTTCCTCTAAGGACTTTAAGTACTATAGCATTAAGGACTACAATTACTGGAGTTTGTACTTCTTGCTAAACAAATAGCAAAGGAAAGAATGAATAAACCCATCAGCAAATAATGCTGCATTATTCAACTTGTTTCTTCATCGCTGTTCTAAATAAAAAGACAAGCTGAGCTGCTCAGAAAGAGCTGGCCCCATGTCCCTGAGAAATACCACATCTGGGCAGCCATGTGCAAGGAGTCAGTTGCCTTCCCCATCTACATTTCCCTCCCCAGCTGTGCTCTTAACCACTGTGACCACAAGAGTGGGGAAATTAGAGTGAGAAGGGGCAAGAATTTTCTAAGCTTCACTTCTTGATAATTATCTACATTTAATTTTGTTTATTGATAAATTGAGCTCATTTAAGATCTACATTAAAGTGAAACTTAACTTCTAAATTATAATACTGTGTGGATATATGTATACAGCTTGAAATAACAGCCGTAAGAGCAAAGAAAGTGTTAAGCATAAAACTTGGTGAGTCCAAGACACATACTGACACTCTTCAAAAAACTGACAAGAACAAAATGTGAAGCAAACAACAGGCAAATTCCCTGAGGTTAGGAAAATAACATGAAGGTTCATTTCTGTTGAAACACTTGAGTTAATCTGGAACACACCTCAACTATAATTAGTGTGCCAGTCTCTCTTTATTCAAGATAAATATTTAACAACCTAAAACGCAGTAGATCTTGTGGGATTGAAAATTACTTCTGTTGATGTCAAATTTGTTCCTGCAGCATGTTAGCTGTATTAGGCATTGGATCAAAAATTTTAGAATACTCCTAAGTATTTTAAGGTTAAGCTTATCTGCTGGTGGGGTGAATTACTACTTTTAGAGGCCAAGAAAAAATAATTTAATTATGCAAATCTCAGTAAATGCTATAACATGAACATTGACAAACACACTGTAAAACTTACATCTGCATAGTAATAAATTTATATGAACTTAATGTTAC